CAATGTTCGTGCCTAAGTGATCGAGAAATGAGCGCGTACTATTCAAGATTGAGGAGGAGCACGTTGCAAAACCTCGCCGAGCATCAGTAAGTTGCTTATTATCCGATGAATGACCGAAACTTCGTTATAAAACTTGTCCGTCTCATTAAGTTACGAACATTCGAAAACTGTGCGAAATCAGACCAATGTACCCTTTCAGATTTTTTCGATGTACCCTTTGAGTATTTCGTCGATGTACCCTATGAGAGTTGCTTAAATGTACCCTATCAGACTCCTCCACAGATGTACCCTATCAGTCAATGTACCCTATCAGTCAATGTACCCTCTGAGTCAATGTACCCTATAAGAGTGATGTACCCTCAATGTACCCCTTTTTGATGTACCCCCGGAGTATGGGCCTATAAAATTGGCCTCGCAAGCAATAAAAAAACTAGCTTTTGTGAAGAATTCACATAACGGCTAGCACGTTCACAACTGCAGTCAGAAATTTCAAATATGTTCAAATTTGAGACGAGGAACGTTCTGAGGAAACGGAACGCAACACAATAAGTAAATTGAGCAAAACTTTCATACCTTTGAATCCACAAATTTCTCTCAGACATTGCGCAGGTTTTTACTAAAGTTTTTTACTAATAAGAAAAAATTGTTTTTTTAATATTTAAGTTGAAAAAAGGCGTGTTTAAATTGCTTATCAGTCTCAATCAAACCAACTAAACCAAGATTATCAATAACAATCGACGTGTAAAAATAGAAGTAAGAATCAGTAAAAAATAAACAGTACTGGTCGTCTTCAATACATGGCTACAAATTTTAGCGAAAAACAAAAAAACCTTCATTCAAGTTTCCTCAACTAACTGAAGGATGTGATCGTACTACCTGTCCAATTATGTCTTTCGAAAGTCCAAATTTATCGAATGTGCAAGCAATGACCCGGATGAAGAATCATATAAAAGGCTGGTTTTACTAAAACTCATTCTGATTTTTTAGATTTTCTTTTTTTTGTATTTTTCTTTTACTGAAAGACCTGGATGCCGTATTCTTGAAAGCAAGCTCTGTTTTTTAATCATTCTCACTACCTGAGCGGGGTTTCCATTTTACGATTCATGACGTATATCATCAGAAAACCCAGGAAATTCTGATTCGGAATACGTTTTCTGTCTTTGCGAAACGGTAGTGAGCTTCAAGAAAATTGGGTCAAAAGATAATTTTCAGTTGATTTCAAGCCGTGTTCGGCCGTGTTTTTAAGTTTGAAAAAAAAATATATCACGCCTCGCGTTAATTTTCAATAAGATCAATAAGATTCAGTATAAAAATTGTTTAGGCAATTTCCAAATTCACTAAATTCCAAGTTCAGTGTATCTCAAATTTCCACAGATAACCGGAAATATCAGCGAGATGATGCCCGCACTTTTCTTTTTTCAAAAATTTTGATTGAAACTTTCAAAATCGTCTCACAAGTATAGAATCAAACCTAAAAACAGAGTTTAATTACCTACAATGCTCAACAACAAAAAATGCTTTCACCCAATGTTTTCACTAAAACACCAATTGTGAGCAATCATAATTTAATTGTGAGCAATCATATTTTATGTGAGCAATCATATTTTATCGGTCTTCCGTAACCGCTTTTCCCACCCACGCTGCGACTGTCTGACAGATCAATTGTAACGAATTCTTTATTATGATGACTCTAACGTTTAAGGGTTTTCATGGTACGCGTCTTCTTAAAAATATCCTGATGCTCTCTCATAAATTCTCTCTCAAAAAGCTGCCAAGGAACTTAGGAACTTCTGAAAATTTCCAGCTGTACACCTGTAAAATGTCATTGGATACCGCTGGAAAGGACCGGAGAGCAAACAGTGACGTTGAGTTGTAAGATTTTCATTGTTTGTTACAGTATGAAACTTGTGTCGTCAAAAGGCTGTTATCAATAAAAATGTAGCAGAACTCCTCAAATTAGTTCGATCCAACCGGAATAGTTTCAATTTCAAATGTTCGACGACTGACAAGTATCGAATATTATCAACAATTGGAATTGGAGAAAGAGTTCCACACATCGGCTTTCATAACATTGAAACAGAGAAAATTATATTTAAAATTTATAAAGAGAAAGAATACAAGAAATATATCAAAAATTTAAAAATTCGACCAGTCGTTCACTTAATACATCCTCGAAATCCTTTTGCAGACTGATTCGATAGATTGCTGAAAAAAAGATAAGATGTTTAGATGTTCTTTCAAAGTTTAGTATTGTAAATAAACGTCGAAAATGCCTCGTTGTGTAATATTCTTTCAATCCAATTAGCAAACGTCCCTTCACATTTTTTTCCAAAGCCACTGCACACTGCATTTTTGCCAGCTTCGTTTACGAGTGAAATAAGATTGTTTGTCACCTGAAAATAAAAGAAATTCAAGTTTCAGTAATATTGGTTGAGGATCGTAATTGGTTCCTACCCAAATCGGTACTCACGTTGGCACCTAGAACAAGAGCAAAGTTGGACTGATTGGTTGTCCGTTGGAAGCACTGAAACACTCACATCTTTTTTGTTTTGTAAAATTTTCAAGATTACGTATTATGTCAGTTTTTTGCAACTCACAAATAAAAGAGGAAAAACTTACAAAACGGAGAGTTAACATATAACGATATAGAAACCAAATGACACATTTCCATTGTGCACTCTGAAATGTCATATGTAAACTGTATAATTGTTTGATGGAGTTAACTGCCAAGGAAAGCAGAACTTACAAGAATGTGAATTCACTTGATACGCATGTTGCAAGCAAAAAAAATACGGAATATCAAAAATAATCAGAATAATCAGAAAAATCAAAGAGTAGTTTCAGAATCCCTTCACACGGGTTTCTTTAAAACTTCTCGACTGATGATTATGTCATTAGAGAATACAGAATAATTTTCAAATAAATAAAAAAAGAAGACATCCCAATTCAGTTGGATGTCATGTAAGGCAGAATGACGACTAGTCGACAGAAATGCTCTCCACGCACCAGAAAAATTATCGCGTGCTGTGGTACGCAGACAGAGAATTCTTATATTCAAGCAATCAGAGCTCGTGTCCCGGTGAAAGAAAGAGAGGCACTCTCCATGGCCCATCAGGAAAAAAGAGAGCCAGTGAGAGGGTGAATCACTGAGAGAGTCTCTTACGAAAATGAGAGCAGCCAGAATGCAAAATTCAATTACACCCAAACAGACGCTCACCCCCCCCCCCTCCCCCAGCTTTTTTGACAACAAGGGGTCCATGTCATCGTCGGTCTCCGGGTGAAGGGTCCCTTCTTTTTTCACTTTTCACTACAAAAACAGAAAAAACGGGGTGCCTTTCAAAGATCTGCAAAAAACTGAAAAACTAGACATTTTCGAAAATTCTGTGAATACAATGTTCATAACCTAGGTCTGTTTTACACTGTCGTTGTTTTCTGAAATCCCAGTATGTTTTCGCATGTGGTTGAGCATTCTGTGTTTGCAGAAATTCGGCCACGCGGTAATACACTACTCGACGGCGAGGAAAATTGCACAGCAATTCATACCAATTCTGAGAGAAGAGCAAAAAGAAACGGGAAATTCAAAGAAATTAATTGCCAGAAAACAAATTTTATGGTAATAACACGAATTTCGATCTCAAAAAATTGGTGGAAGTTGGTGAGCAAATTGAGAAGAAGTCGCGGCATCCCTTATTAGAATTCTTTATTGCATCTTCTCGTCTTCCTATATGTCAGTTTTATCCCAGGAAGATTCATCTTGTCCAGATTTTTTTCCTTCAAAATACTGTAAAAATTGTGGTAAAATACTACAACGGAACCTAGCGAAAAACGAGGAAAATACTTCTAAAATTTTTTAATTGATGTTGTTGTAATTAAAGTAAAGCGTTAATAGGAAAAAAGTCAACGGGATGCTGAAAAAAAAATCTAACCAAAAACAGTAATAGTGGCACGAGAAAAGATTGATGAAAAAACAATTTGATTATCATTCATTATAGCAATCTTTGTAGAGAAGTTCACAGAAAAAATCGCTGTTCAATCACGGTTTTTCTGCAAGAAGTCTTTCAATTTCGTTCTCAAAACTCTTTGGATCTGTCGATGGGCCGTATCTGAAAAAATTAATTCTAGATAGTGTCCTTTACAATTTCCTCTACCTGGCAACAACTTTTCCCTTTCTGTTCACCAGAAATTTGGTGAAATTCCACTTGATAGCATCAAATAGGGTTCCTCCTTGCTCTTTTTTTAAAAACTCCCAAAGTGGATCTGCTCCTCCAATCAGCGGTCCTCCATTCACCAAAACTTTTCCGTAGAGATCAGGCTCAAATGCAAATTTTTCCTTAACAAAGTTGCTGACATCAGCTTCGCAGAATGGTTCCTATAAACCAGTTCGCTTTTGTTTCTCGGTAATATAAATTTTAACCCAACCTGAAAACCGAATTGGTTACACGGGAATGCAGCCACACGAAGGCCACGAGAATAATATTTATCGTTTAGAGTCTTCAACTGATCATAATTGGAATTCGTCAGTCCACAATATGATGCAACATTCACAATGATGACAACCAGACCACTGAAATTATTTTTTATCATGATTACAATGCATTTTTTTTCAGCTACCTGTACTTATCCAGTGAGACTAAATCTCCAGCCGCATCTTTCACTTGAAAGTCGTATATTGTCCCGGTCGCCATATCAGTTGATCGAGAGAAGATGAAAATGAAAGGTCAATCAACTCCTATCTTATCATTTATTTCTAGAAAGTGGCGTGTTCTCGATAATTGTTATCAGAAACAAGTAGGATTTTTGGTTTCAAACAATATGAAAATTTCAAAACACTTTAACTAATAATTCAGAATATTTGAATATGGTCAAAGATCGGGGGCAGGGAGATGATTGCACATCAGAAGTCGAGGTCAGTTGTAAGTTTAGGCAGGGCAGAGACATATGAGAAAGGCAAAGTTTACCAGGAAAGTGGATTGGGCGAGATGTTTCATGGGATGACACAAATGTCATAGGGAAAGGATGACACAAATGTCAGGGATGACACAAATGTCATAGGGAAAGGGACATGTATAGAAAATGAAGCAAATAAACCATCAATAGATGGTGAACACGATAACAAGTAGCAAATCAAAATAATCTTCAACACAGAAAAAGATCAGGGACATGAGGAGAATTGCAGGATGGTACGGGTACATAGATGAGGTCAAGGTAATTTGTAAGGTAGGAGAAAGACACACGAGAAAAGCAACGAAAAAATAACCAGGAACTTGATGAGGAGAGATGTGTTTGGGTTGGATACGATTGTTAGAGAAAAATGAATTAAAGCTCGAAAAGATGGGGTGAAACAGCAACAGGAACGGCAATGACAAACAACAAAATTTGGAACCTAGTCAGAGTTCGGGGACATAAAATTGCACATTAATTCCGGTCTATAACAAATTTCAAGGCCAGTAACATGATTTTAGTGAGAGACGGACACAAAATTACTAGAAAAATGATTGGGAGAGAGATTTGTTCAAGACACTAATGCCATCAAGGATACTAAAGACACTAATGCCATCAAGAGCTGAACACGGAACAAGCGAGGTGGATCAGGGCGAAAAATTATAATTGAAGCTATCAGAACATGAATAATTAGGTAAAAACATCAACAGTAACGGCAAAAAGCACAACGTAAAACATGATCTATGGGACGAGATATATATTGGACAAAAGAGATTTTCAATGAAACAAAATGAAACCTAAAGAAATCAAGAACATGTCAGATGAGTTAATGATTTCTGGTTTTCTTATTCGTTGGCTCCGAAGAGCTGGCCAGCGAAAGTCTGCCTTGGGAGGTAGATGGCCCATTGTCATCAATAGCCACTTTTGCCATCTCACTTCTCAAGAACTCCACGATCCGATTCTGTTCGGATGTTGACATCCAATCCTCGTGGGGTTTTCCTTCCAACTTCGCGAAAACTCGGAGTGCAGTCAACCTCTCATCATCCAGGACCAATGGGAATTCTGTAATCATCATTATTATGATATATAAATTGAGTGGTGCTTTTTTTTGTATGTCGTTCCGTTTTCCACCAAAGGCATTCTGAGACATAATTTCCAAAGTTTAAGCAGAAATGCGTCCGTATAGAATTACCTTCGATATCTGGGAGGACGACATATTGAAGATAGGCGAACAGAAGCGGGTAGAACTTCCGGAAGAGGAATTCGGAATCGAGTCCGGCAGTTCCATGATCTTGGCACTGAATCTCAAGTTCTGTGAATCTGAAAGTTAACGTGGTTCACTTTTTTAAAGCTCATGGTGTACTCACTCGATATGACGTTCCAAGTCTTCTTCTCGTAAGAAATTTCCGCCAAAAACGATCGAATCCTCCGGCGTCCATACAAAATGCAGCCATCCGGAAGGAAGCATGGCGGTTTGCCCTTTTTTTATTTCAATTCTTTGCCACTGGTCCCAAAATTCTTCCAGTAGCCAAACGTCCTTCTTTCCCAATTCAACTTCTTTGTACATCTTTAGGTTTGCTTCAGTAGGAGGTGCCACATAAAAAATTTTTCGACCCTGGAATTTAAAACTTTGGTATTTGTAGATAATCAGATAGCGACTATAGAGAATCGAAAGAAAACCTACATCATCCACATGGTAAAACACGCTTGAGGCGCTCATGTCCACATGAGTGTCGGTGAACGATTTTTCCATTGAAACCAAGACGAACTTGGTATAACGTGGCATCTCTTTCATCATCTTCTTCACCAATAGAAGTTCTCTCGCGGCATTATCATCACTCCGATGTCTCATAAGCTTGTCCTTTCTTGCGGCAAGAGCTCGTTCCAGTTTCGAAACCATTGAAACATTTTTCACATATTCGACTTCTTCGAGCTCTTTGTTAATTCTGAAACAATTCTGGGATTTTCGCAAATATTTCAAAAAAAAAGTTACGTTTCTAATTTCGAAACTTCCAGGGACAGCATATTGAGAGCCTGGTCACCTCTGACTCCATTGAAAGCATCCAGGAACTTCTTCATTGACATCGTTGTAGTTTCTCTTGTCATGCTATTGATGACAAGGACGTCGTCACTTTCTGAAACAGAAAAATTATTTCGAAACTTAAAAAAACACGATTACCCCAGAGAAATTCTTCGACGTTTTGAAAATTTATATCTGGAGCTCTGAGTCTCAAGTCCTTGCTGGTCTTGAAAAGATGTGGTACATTGAAAGTTCCCAGCTTTTTATTATATTCCTTCGAATCGTTCCAGACTTTAATTGTGATTTTGCTGAAACATTTTTTTTTTATTTTTAGTAAAAAATTCATTTCGCAAATTCGTTTTCAACAAATTCGTTTCGCAAAATACGTTTCACAAATCACTTAGAACCAGGGATGTCCAGAATAGCCTTCTTGAAATTCTTCGGAATGTCGAAATACCCGGTTAAAAAATTTCGGAATATTCCGATTTTTAAAATCTCGAAATTTCGGATACTCGGAATATATTGATTTTCAAATGTTATGAATTTCGGAAATTTCGGAATTTTTTCGAATTCAAATATTTTTGTTTTACAATTACAACTTTAAAACAAGTTCGGAGCAGGATTGGGAATTTTGAAAATTCCGACCAATATTTTTTTGTCAACCTTTCATTGATTTTTCAGCATATGATGAACAATGGGATTTTTACTCTTATTTAGATGTTGAAAGAATTGGAAGTTTTGAAAATCCGAATTATTCAAAATTTTCGAAATTTTGAAAAATTCCGGAAGACCATTCCAAACATATTTTTTGCTCAAAGAAAGCAGTATTTCCAGGGTTTTCTCACTTACTTATTACGAAACAGATGCTCGTGTTGAGAAAAAATCTCCAAAAACTCTTTGCAGCCCGGTTTGTACATCATCTCCCCTGTGCTGGTCCTGTGAAGCCGAAGATCTTGAAGCTTCTTCAGGAAAACCATCTTTTCAGTTACTTCTGCAGGCTTCAAGCTCCATTGAAGACAATTGTTTTTGCGATTTCTGTAATATTGAAATGAAATTTGTCACCCAATGTAAACCATACCTGTTTCCACGGGTTGTCATCCAACAATTATTCCCTTTTCTAACAGATTTTCTTGCTCTTCCAGTTTTCTTTTTTTGCACATTGGGATCTCTCTCGTTTTCAATGGCTTCTGGATCATTATCATTTTGTGGATCATCATCCATTTCATTGTTTTCTGGAGCATCCTCGTTTTCCAGAAAGTCATTCATGTCATTGTTTTCTGGAGCAGCACCGTTTTCTGGCTCCTCATTCATCTGATTTTCTTCTGGAACATTATTGATTTCGTCGTTTTCCGGAGCATTTGCTCTTTCGTCTTCCTCCACTGCGTCCTCCATTCCATTGTCTTCGGCAACATCCTCAATTGGCTCATCGTCCAGAACATCGAAGTCAGAATCGCTATCATCTGATTGTGGTACCCCATTCAACACTGGGACAGCGGCAGAAGCAGCGGGGATTCTGAAAAAGGTTTTTTTGAAGCGAAATGCAGTCTATTTCAAAATCTGAGAATAAAAGATTCCCAAAACTTTAAATCTCCGACTTCTTGAACGTTCAAAATTTTGTAAAGATTTGGGCACTTGTTATTATGAAATATTTCTAAGCTTTCGTTTTCAGACGTTTCAATAATCGTATCAAGTGTTAGAATTAGAAATCCATCTGGGTCTGATTACTGAGTATGCTGGAAATAGTTGCCAAGTTCATATGATATTATTTTGATACGAAAAATCGGAAGCGTCTGTGGCCATGGCCGAAAATCGCATAATGACAACTACCGTAACTTTAAAATATTCTTATTTTTGGAGTATTACATTTAAATTTTTCTTAGGACTACACGTGTGCCAAAAATTCTGAACATGAAAAAAATTTTAAGGACAAAAGTAAGAGCCCGGAATTTTGGGTTACGGTCGATGTCGTTGTGGGACCTCTGGCCACAGCCATCGTTGCTTTTGTTTTGTTTTTTTTTCAGGGCTCTGATTCTTTTTCTACCGGCATAGTAATACAGAGGCCTTTAACAAAGAGTAGGGAACTCAAAATTATTATAAAAAAATTGATCGAAAGGTATTTTTGAACGACCATTTTTAAATTCATTTTGATCGTGCTTCCCCTGGCTTAAATTTATAATTTCTGGGTATTCATTAAAATAATACTCACATTGGCTGCGCATCTGGCTCTTCTTCGTGTTGATCGAGTGGTTCTGGGTTCTCTGGTCCTTGCTCTTGGCGTCCATTTGCCGGTTCCAGGGCTTCGAAATTGTTCATGGTGTAGATTGGTCACAACACAAGTTGGTTGAAGCTGAAAGACAGTTAGATGGTAAGGTCAGAAAAAGCATGTAAGGTTTGAGTTATGAAAACTAGTATGAATTAAAACAAATAAAACTCAATACTCTTGTAAATTTTAAGGAATATGGAGGGCCACCTTGTCAATTTTACGGATTAATATTTGAATTCGCCTCAAGATTATACGCAAATTCCACTATGTAATGAGGAAAGAGCGAGGAGAGAGGAATGGGTCCAAAAACTCTCCAAGAGAAAGAGAGAGAGAGAGAGGGAGAGAGAGAAAGTGAAAGAGAAGAGGGCAGTAGTACGCGGCAAGCAGAGGAGGAGGAGGAGGAAGGTCGTTTATTGCAAAACGCTCGTATGCATCGACGTGATTGAATATGTGTAATTCTCATTCACATCGAAGAAATCAATGACTAGGCAAGCAAAACAGTAGATATAAAAAACTTTTGAATGGAAAATTTAAATAGTATTCCCAATGTTATTGTTCTATTATAGTCAAAAATAAAGTAGACATGGACTTACAAAAATACGAAAATGAAAAGGAAAGTCAATGCGTCACCTTGAACTTTCGTGTCAGAAAGCTGAAAAAGATTAGACTATGACGCAGCATATAAGAACACTAATGGCTGCCAACACAACATGCGCGCGCGGAAGAGAGAGTAAGATGGCCGTTGGCAACATTGACACTGACCAATGCGCAGAAGAATGATCGAGAGGGATGAGACAGTGAGAGGACTGTGCACATCGAAGGGGACCGTCTACTGCCACTACTATGGAAAGACAATCGAGGGAAGAAATAGAGAGAGGAGAACATGAAGAGGATCTGTTTGACGCGCCGGAGGCCCAGATGACTGGTAATTCATAAAAACCTATCAGTCCTACAACACCAAATAAAAATCAGGGCTCATCCAAAGAAATATCGCCCAAAGGGGCGGAGAAAAGGCAGAATAAAGTAACAACGTTTCTTATCTTCTCGATCACACCCCAACGCCTTTTAAGTGTGCAACACGACTGATGCCAATAAGTGGGGTATTAGGGTCTTTGTGGATCGACGAAAAGGATACGCAGAAGGTGCGAAAAACAGATACAGGTACGGGCAGCACACCAACAGAAACTACCCAGACCGTACAGACCTTATGTCAGACGGAAAAAAAATTGTTAGGATGGACGGTTGTGCGTGCGTACGTGGATACACTGTCCAAAAAGACATTTTACGAACATGAAGTTTAACAAAGCTTGATGATCGTGTTTTCACTGTCCACAATGATCAGCTCTCGGTGGTCCATGACTACATACCAGAAAATATTATTAGAGTTCCACGTGTTTTCGAGTTTTTCAGGTAAGTATCCAAAACATACGGGCTCACAAACAGACAAAAAATGACCATAGTAATTCTTCTCAATGTCTCCGAAGGTATCGTAGACGTACTTCGAACCATAATCCTACAGAATGGGTCTGCATAGACTTCAAAAGAAAGTTTGCCCTCAGAACATATCCTAACAACTTGATGAGCCCTAATGTATTTTTTCTCATGTACTCTTAAATACAATAATTTAATTAAGGCCCACATTTGATTTAAGTGCCCTTCATGAGGGGTCATGAAAGTTCATGTATTAGAATGAAGAGTGTGAATGACTGTTACACATTAACTCACTGGGGAAAAACGAGCCCTATAAGAATATTCTGAGTATTAAGGTTTTGTGAATTCCCAGAAGGCAAAACAAATAATGACGAGCAGAATTTCTGTGCGACACGAATTCTTTTGAGTTGCCCCTGAAAAAAAGAACAAGTGGGGGAATAAGTTGTGGGGTCGTGGTCAAGTTATCTTTTCAATAATTCGGATATGTCGACACCAACTGCCACCAAAAGAAGAAAATGATAATAGTAATGAGCTATACAGGGTGGCCAATAATGATAGGACGTTTCTAAACGTCTTCCATTTTTCAGAAAAAGTTTTTTACCTGTAATAACTTTATCAAAGTATTCGATATATGTAAGGATTTTAGTTTTATAACAAGTAGTCATGATCAGAATTACGAGCTTTGACGTTAGCCTCCAAACGCATGATAAAAAATTCGGCTATGTGGCAACTGTAGTTGACGTCAATATCGCCCCAAAACTTTTGAAATGGATTTTACCGAAAGTCTAAAAAGCTATAGGAGATTTCTGAGATCTTATTCTCCAAAAGTCTCCATACATTGAAGTCCATCGGACTGAAATCCGTGGAGTTAGAGGGCTCCCACCAATCATCGCCGAGTTTTCTAGGAAAATGACCTTCTAAGACCGCAATTGTGGATTTCGATCCACAAGACGGTGCTGAGCATATTTGTGGAAAAGATGGCCGGCCCGCGGGCCGGCCCGCTTTTTGAAAATTTCGAAAATTTAGAGCAAATCATCATTTTTAAGATGGCTTTTCTCCTTAACGAATAAAAATCCACACTAGAGGACAATTCTGTCGAAAAAAAACTGTTTTTGAAAAGTAACATTTTCGAAAAGTTGTCCTAGGCGGGCCGAGCAGGCCGGGCCGGGCCGAGGGTTTTGAGGCAAGCGGGCCGGCCCGGCCCTCCACATGTATGGTGCTGAGTTTTACGGAAAGTTTTAAAAATGTCCAACAAATTCCTGAGTGGCCCAGGACAACAAATTATGCATCAAAACTGTCATTCGGTAGACCTGCGAGCTGATTTTCACCAAAAATCAAAAAATTGGTACTGGTTGTCGTGATTCTATCCAAAACAAAAAGACATTTTTACGGAAAAGGCAATTTGAAAATAAAATACGTTCAGGAGATTTATTATCATTTTTTGGTGACAACTGTCCCTGATCCCGATGGTTCGGAAGAATTCCATCAATGAAACTCTTTACGTCACTCCCAGATCTCGTCTGACAAACACCGCAGGTAGAGGTGTGAAAAAAGTTTTTTGCATTTTTTGCGTCTGCGGGCCACGGATGTATAAGAGAGAAACAGTTTACAGTAGATACGGTATCAGCAAGTATTTGAATCCTTCTTGACGATTTTTTAAACTCTGGACCATTTTAGAAGGTTACCCTATACCATACTTGTGGAAAAGATGGCCGGCCCGCGGGCCGGACCGGGCCGGAAAAAATTACACATGGCCGGCCCGCTTTTTGAAAATTTTGAAAATTTAGAGCAAATCATCATTTTCAAGATGGCTTTTCTCCTTAATAAATAAAAATCCACACTAAAGGACAATTCTGTCGAAGAAAAACTGTTTTGAGGTCGTTTTTAGAAAAAAATTTCATCCTTGGCTTAATGAAGTTTGATTTTTTGCTAAAAATTCAATTAAATTGACTTTTTCGGATGGTTGTATGCATTTGTATTAATATTTGTGCTATTAGAAATATATTAGCACATTTGAAAATTAACATTTTCGAAAAGTTGTCCTAGGCGGGCCAAGCGGGTCGGGCCGGGCTGGCCCGCGGGCCGGCCAGCGGGCCGGGCCGGGCCGAGGGTTTTGAAGCAAGCGGGGCTGCCCGGCCCGGCCATCCACATGTATGCCCTATACATTCACTTTGAGCTCAATCATCTGAGTTTCCATGAAAGATATCAAAGTTTTGTAACTGATAAAATGTTGGTGAGAGACTTTATAGCCAGTTAGAGATCATAACGCTACTACTGGACTGGTCAGAAACACGCCTAGACTACTAGAGTACACACTTGGACAAGAGGTTTTTTAAGGGTTTTTTTATCGGACTTCTGCTCTTTCAACGATTTTATGGCCATTAATTTTTTTCGATTCAAAATATGCAAACAATACCGGTCAATGAGATACACAAAAACGCATTTTCCCGCTAATTTTCTGCTATTTTGAATATTTTCATGAGTCTGGCTGTCAAATTTTCCAGTCACTTTGAAAATTTTGGAGCATGTGAATTATGCCTAGTTTAAAAACTGCGCATTTACAGAGTTATTTGAGTTTTTCTGCTATTTCCCGATTTCTGAAAAAAAAAACCTGTTGTTTCACCATGTTTTTTATGACAAAAACGGGCTAAAAGTGTCTTTCAAGATCTTTCGGAAAATTTTTTTAAACTATGAATTTTCGAAAAAATCTTGGAATGCAAAGTTTTTATTTTAGGTCTTTTTTACACCCTCCAATATTTTCGAAGTCAACGGAGTCTTGACAACCGAGCTCTAGTTTTCTGAAAACTGTCCGAAAATTAACTGAAAAGTACGTTGTTGCATGTCTTATTAAATAGTATTGTATTGTACAGTGCGCGTCATAATGATAGCACCACCCCATTTTTGAGGTTTTCAGAACAACTGAAAAACTAAGATAAAAACTATTGATGCCATTCGATTCAGCATCCCAAAAAACCTATGTGTCCCTTAAATCAAGTACCAGTCAAGTGTATTAAAGCTACAGTAACCAAAAGTCTGTCTGCACACCGCGCCATAATGATAGTACCACCCTGGAAAATGAAAAATCTCCAGTTCTTTTTGAGAAATAAAGAGAATATTTTGTTGAAATTCGTTAAAATAGTCTTTAAACAGTCTATTTTGACAGTCTACACAAAGTTTTTGCCTCTATTCAACTTTGAGAAAAATTTATTTTCAGACATTTTCGTCATTTTTTGGGTTTTTGGAATAAATCTTGAATAACTTGGCTCCTGGGTAAGATATCGAGCTGGAACTGATAAAAAGCATCTTAAATGTGCTCATGATCATGTTATAATTGTTCAAGGCATTCATGAGCTCTGGAAGCTCATAACTAAACTCGAGTTTTGAACTGAAAAAAATTCCACATTGAAAATGTTCAAAGGTGTGCAAAATGTTCCAATGATGTTCTCAATTCCCAAAATTGACTTTAAAACTATGATTCTGTACGGAAAAATGATTTTTACTTATGAAATCCAGTTTTTTAAAAGAAAATCAAAATCACCGAATTTCAAGGTTCGTTTTGGAAGTTTCCGTTTTGTTCAAATTGCGAACGACGGTTCAGAATAGCATAAAAACAACTAATACACACTCCAGACCACTGCAAAAAAATTTCTATCAGTTTCAGATCAACAGTTCACCCAGGAGGATAGTTATTCAAGATTTATTCCAAAAACCCAAAACGACGAAAATGTCTGAAAATAAATTTTTTTCAAAGTTGAATAGAGGCGAAAACTTTTGTTTAGACTGTCAAAATAGACTGTTTAAAGACTATTTTAACGAATTTCAACAAAATATTCTCAATTTATTTCTCAAAAAGAACTGGAGATTTTTCATTTTCCAGGGTGGTGCTATCATTATGACGCGGTTTGCAGACAGACTTTTGGTTGCTGTAGTCCTAATACACTTGACTGCTACTTGATTTAAGGGACACATAGGTTTTTTGTGATGCTGAATCCAATGGCATCAATCGTTTTAATCTTAGTTTATTTTTTCTGAAAACCTCAAAAAATGGGGTGGTGCTATCACTATGTCGCACTGTACAAGAGGTTTTGATTTATCTATTAAAGTGGATACATCGAAATCTTTCGAATGAAGCATCGATGGTTGATGAAAAGGAATTTTTAGAATTAGAATTATTTATTTTCAAACGGTGTCATACGGTACAGAAGAGAAAGGCAGCTCCCCTCACCAGGAGCGCCTACCAATGAATTTAAATTTTTAGATCCTGGAACTGGTGACATTGCAAAGCGGGTGGTGCAAAAAGACAGATTTATGCGACTCTTGATTGTTTCTTGTGTCAGTAATTTTTATCTTAAAACGGGCCCGATAGCTGAAAAAAAACATGGAAAATCGGGAAATGCGTATTTTGATGGCGCAATTTTATCACCTAAAGCACGCAATTCCACGCGCAAACTATTGTTTTTAAATTTCATTTTCCCACTTTTAACGTTCGCCGTTTTGCCACTATTTCTATTCAATTTATTTCGTCTTATTATTACCCTAAAAATGGGAACAAAAATTCAGTGTGACGTTGCATGACTAACTTTTTCTAAATTGATTCCAATTCTCCCGCTTTCTTCGCCTTTCTCCCCTTCTCTATTTTTATACATTTATCGTTTATTCAACAATTAGTAGACCTCCTAATTGGCGAAGNTNTGCTCATTATCCAACTTTTACAATGGGGGAAATTTTTGAAATTGGAAAGTTTGATAAGAAGCAAACAAAGTTAAATGCTCAACAAAATATTATTATTGTAGTATTATAAAACTGAAATTCCTATTTATCGAAATTCATGGTGCAGCTCGACAAAACAATAAAACGTCGAATATATTTTGCTCTCATAGGATAACTCGAGAGTAGCTTGAAGACATATTCAAAACAAATTGAAAAATAGGACCCTCTGAATTTGAGATACGACGAATTCGAACGTTTTCAAAATCGAACAGACCTAAAGTCGAACAGATTCAATTCAGAACA